AATAAAATTTTCTTTGATATGAATTTTAGCATCAGTTCCTGCTGGATAAACTTCCTAAGAAGTTCTCATTACATCAAAATCAGAACCATCCACTCAGTTCCACATTACTTTATTTTATTTTATTTTATTTTATTTTATTTTATTTTATTTTTTGGTACTGGGGGTTGAACTCAGGACCTTGTGCTTGCCAGGCAGGCACTTAACCTGCTGAGCTATCTCCCCAGCCCTCATTACTTTAAAAGAATGATACAGTTTAAATAAAAACAATTGCACACATCTCAGTAGGACAATGAAAAGCTCCGTATATGAGAATATTGAATCTTAATTACACTACTTTCCCTCAAACGTATTCTTTCACTTCTATATTTATTAAACATTTCTGGAGTACTTGCTTTGCAGTAAGCACACTAAAATTCTAAGGATTCACACAAATAAAATGATTGTTCTGGTCAAAGATCTTAAAGTCTAGTGAACACAACTGAAAAATAAGGCGATGTTATAAAATACAGTTCTCAAAATGTTGGACCTGAATAGCACCAAGTTTCAGAAACAACTGTGGGAGGCAAACAGGTAGCTTCCTGCAGCAGGTAGCTCTCAAGCACTTGCTGAAAGCATGAGACATTTCCAAGGTTGGAGGCAGGTATGCACAGCAAGATGTACAGCATGAAAGAAAATCACACCTAAGAAGTAGTTTCCAAAGTGTACTTAAGAAAAATGATGAAGTATTTGATCTAGCAAATATGAAAGATAATTAAAGAGCTACATTTATGAAAATAGGGTAGAAAAATGGACTAATGACAAGAATAGCAGCAGACTCATGCATCTTGGAGAGCTCAGCAAAGGACCAGCAGGAGTGCAGACCATGGGGGAACAGATTATTTTGTAAATGTTGCTGGCATAGCAAGTTACCCTGAGGCAGGCAGGAAAGGGGAAGGAAGGATGGATGAAAGGAGGAGAATTGAAATCAGCCTCTTGCTCAATTTACACAGTTCAAAGAGAAATAGTTTTGAATTTTGTATTTTCATAAAAAAATTAAAAGAAAAAAATTGATATCTTTATGACATCACTGTTTGAAAAATTCTATTCAAAAATACACTAACAACCAGACATGGTGGCGCATGCCTGCAGTCCCAGCACTCAGGAGGCTGAGGCAGGAGGACAACTGTAAGTTTGAGACCAGCGTGGGCTACAAAATGAGCTTAAGGCCACACTGAACTGCATAGTGAGACCCTATTTCAAAAAGACAAAAAATAATAATAATAATAAAAACAAATGCACTAACAACTCCAGAAGAACCCTAAACTGTATTTATCATCCTGTTCTAGCCATTGCTTACTCAGGTAAAATAATTGATATTTCTTTTCAATGTGGAATTGAATTTTCCTGTACAGCATTTGCAAATACATGAGTAACTATAGAACAGAAATAATTTTTATGAGTTCAACTGCTCATATGAACAGTTTTCAATATTTCTTATACTGTTGAACAAAAGTATGTGTTGGACATTTATCCAAGTGGGGATGGGGCTTCTTGTTACATTATGTGATTTGTTCAAGCCCTTCCTTATCATTTATTCCCATGGATCCTCAAAAATAATGTGATATATAAATTATAGCTATCTGAGGATCAGATTGGTATACTTTGGGGTGCTAATAATATACCAGATAGTAATTCTTTTAAAGTTTGCAGCAGTACTTATTTGCAGCACACAGTGACTGCATTCACCTTGGGGTGAACCCATTTAATAAGCACAGTCTGTTGGCATCCACACCTATGGGTAAGTTCATTTCGGTACAGAATTTATGCTCTTATGGACTACTGTGCTTTCT